ACACACACACATCGGAGATAACCAGTTAGATATTTGCTACTCAAGTGTACAGATCTCAGAAAACAGCAAGGGATTTCTATTTTACATGCTGTGTTTTTATTTTAGTATTGAGGAGACCTGGGTAGGGGAAGTTGGGAGTTGCATGTTAATTTGAGTAGTTCAGGCTACTGAAACATTAAAATGTGAATTCCCAAACTTTTCTTTTTGGGCTTTGTCAGGGAAAAGGAAAAAACTTACTTCTAAAAAATCTTTGGAAGTTAGAGTGCTTTCCAGTAGGCTGAAGTCAGCAATTCCCAGCTAAGATCATTTGAAACCAGTTTTCCTTTCCTTCCTTCCCATAGGTCAAGTCAATATTAATTGTGCCTTATTTCACTTCCATAAACTTGAATTATTTTTAGGGAAAGCCCCCCTATAAATTCAGAAGTCACTGTAAGTAGCATGGAGACTGGAGTTGGGATATTCTGTTGACTATAAAACCATGATGTCATTCTGTGTATAGAGAATGTAAAAGGAATATTCAGTGTTAACTGCCATATGTTAATATACACGAACATAATTAGCATTGTGAAGGCCAAATGCATTCCCCCATGCTTTTTTCTTTTCCAGGAAAATTGAAAAATCAACTCTTCCCCAACAGCTGCCTAATTTAAGAGCCTGACCATCACATGTTGGTGTGGGCACGTGGGGCCGTGGTGTGAATGTCTGTATGGGTGTGTCTAGATGTGTGTGAGAGCACCTTGAAAGGGACTCTTTCTGCAGATACTGTAAATACAAGTACCGTTTTAATAAAGCATGTACAATAAACCAAAATAAGTTTGAGTTGGACTTTATATGCAGAACTGTAAGCCAGTACATTTTATGCTAATAGGATTGCATTTGGTTCAAGAGGAGGAAAAGGTCTTGGAAATGAAAAACAGGCACTGGTTAACCAAGTTGTACACATTGTACCACAATCAGTGTAACTTTAGGAGGAAATTCCATCTTCATGGAACATTTTCAAGAGATCTGGGATCATTCAGGTAAGAATTGATATATTAAAGTGTACATACTTGTACTTGGTTTCTATGCCCACTGATAAGCAATAGCACACCAAGCAGTAGTTGTCGAAAACAAAAACAATAAAGAGTATTGTACTGATAGGTATTAAATTCTTCCATTATTAGGTTGAAAAAGTCCTACATAAAAGCCCTACTTAGGTAAACAGTTGTTTGACTTCATCATGACTGTAGATTCTTGGTCAGGGACAGGTTGCACACACACATAAAAATCCAAAATAGGCCACAAGTCAAAAGAATTCTACTTGATGGGTATAATACATGCAGAAGCCATCAAAGGGGTACTTGAACAGTAAGTTGAAGAATATAAACACTATGTTCTCTTCAGTCCAGGAATAGTCTGTAGAAAATTGTGATTGTCACCAAATCCTGGCTGAAGAATGGTTGTGATGACTAAAGAGTGTTGCTAAAATGCTTTGTTGTTTTTATGTAAAATATTTTCTTTAAAAAATTGTTAAAAATGTGTATCTGTATTAAACTGATGAATATGAAAATTTTGAGCCTAAAGTTCAATAATCTGCACTTGCGAATAGAGAAAATCTAAGTATTCATGCAGTAAAAACAATGCATTCTGTTTGTTTTTTAATGAGAAGTTTTGTGTTTTGATCTTGAAATAAACTGTGTTCTGTAGATAATTTCTTAATTCTAGTCGAATGTTTCTCATTGTCAGGTAGGTTGGCCAGTAGTCTTGGAGGGGATGGTAATTGGTGGCACAGTCTTCACCACTTAGTTTGTGTTTTCCAAACTTACCTAATTGAAAAGATTACTTGGGGGACTTAAAGTACAGATTTTTTTTTTTTCCTCCAGTGCAAAGATTTAAACCCAGGGCTTCAGACATGCCGGACAAGTGCTCTACCATTAAACCACATCCCTGGCCCTAAAATACAGACTTCTACCTGCTGAACCTGAATCCTGTTCGGTAAGCGGTGCCTCCACTCATCCTTAGAGTGGCACAGGCATGCTTGAGAAATGCTGTACTTGTCTTCTCAAGTATCACAGTTCATATTGGTCAGGGAATGAAAGTGAAACTTACAGTCTTGGTCTGATTCCCAAAGCTCTAAGCTAAAAGTCAGTTTCACATAAAACCTAATACATGGCTTTAGAAAATAGTAAGTTTTAACATAACAGATTTTTATCACTTGCCAGCATCTAACTGAATAGAAGTTATGCTGTGCAGATACAGCTAGTTTCTCTCTTTCAGGATGAACCTATTCAGATGAGGTTTTTAAAACTGGTGAAGAAAGCTACTCGAGTTTTCCTGACATTCTACCTGCCTTCTTGGTATCTACAGAATCTTAACAGTACACCCACCTTACCTCACAGGCTGAAAGGCTAAACTCAAGTCTGTTGGACTAGCACTGGAGAAATTTGTTCTCTAGAAAGAAAAGTCTGCATTGACTCAGCCTCCTTACCAAGTACTCCACTTCTGTCAGTGACTGAGAGGATAGCAGCTTGTTCTGAAGCTGTGCTGTCAATGTGCTGACATGGTATAGGGCTTGACAGCTCTTAGCAGTCAGTGGATTGGCAGTACTAAGAAAATGTAAAAATTGCTCTGCACATAATGAAACTATAAATCAAGTACAATTTCACTGAGCTACTGAATGAGTCATAATTCTGATTCCTCTGATGCAAAAAGACCATATGTTCCATTATGGCCAACTATCAATTTGTTGGATAATATTAATCAGATTATGACCTATTTGGCTGTGGCAAAAAATAATAATGACGAATGTTAGAAAGACCTCTACATCTTCACAGCACTCAGGAATCCCTGGGCTAGACAACAGCTTTCCATCTGTTCTGCCTGTGAGGCCTCCATTCTAGAAAGCATTTGAGGGACTGGAGAGAGGGCTCAGCAGTTAAGAGCACTGGCTGCTCTTGCAGAGGATCTGGGTTCGATTCCCAGCACTCAGCGGCTAACAACTATCTGTCACTCCAGTTCCAGGGTATCTGATGCCCTCTTCTAACCTCTGCAGGCATTGCATGACACAGGTGCACTTACATACATTCAGGCAATATACTCATACACACAAAATCAAAATATTTTTAAGTGCTCTTGAGATGCTGTGAGCACTAAAGCTTATCCCTTAGAGACTGCTTTCAGTGCTCTCATAAGCAAATAGGACCGAACCCTCATCATGAAGTCTAGAGTAAGAAACAATGAATATCTGCATATGCCTTAACTATGTTCTTTAAATCATGATAATGGATACCTAGTATGATTCCCAAATGACACTTAGTGACATGCAGGCCATTCTGTGTATGAGATAATCCAAATTTGGTTAAGAAAAAGATGTTTAGAAGATAAATGGAGAATGTGCTTTTGCTGGTTATAAAATAACATGCTCCTTACATGAAAAAGATACTAAAAAAGTAAGAATTGACCCAAAAGTCATAATTAAGGGGTTAACTTTTTCAAAAGCCCTTTTCTCTCCAATCCCTTTCCATGTGTTTGGGATTATAACATATTCTCTTAATCCAAGACGTCAGTCTCACTGAACATCTTTGCCTGACTTCCTGGAACCTCGGAGCACAACAAAACCTATGGGACACTTTAAAAGCAGTCCTAAGAAGGAAGTTTATAGTTCTAAGTGCCTATGTTAAAAAATCAGAACACAAATAAATGACTTAACATTGCAACTCAAGACTGGAAAAGCAAGGACAAATTAAACCCAAACCCAGCAGAAGAGAAGAAATAACAAAAATCAGCAGAAATTAATGAAATAGAAACAAAACAATACAAAGAATGAATATAAGAGCTGATTCTTTCAAAAGTTGAACAAGATAGACCCTTAAGTTAACCAAAAGAAAGAAAGCAAATCCACATGACACCCAAAAGATCCAGAACATTATAAGGGAATACTTTAAAAAGAGACCCAACAGTTTAAACAGACCATAACATGTAAGGAAATTGAAACAGTAACACTTCCATTTCCCTACAGACCTGCTCCTCATACTCTGTTGGAGAACTGTACCACTGTACTCAACTTGGCTTCCTTCTCAACATTTCTTATCATTAGATTCATGGTTCCTGTTGGGAGTCTGAACTTAAATTTGGTGTGGTGCTTCCCTACCTAAAGACCTTCAGTGGTCCTCAACAATAAAGACAGAGCTTGGGCCTGCCATGCCTGCCTCCTCACCAGCCTCATTAACTGACACATAAAACTACTACCAACTTAGTTGTGGCTTCCAGAGTGTACCCCTAGCCACTACCCACTCCACTCTTCAGTCTGGGTTGTGCTCTTCTCCCCATTCCCTCACTGGATAACTGCCTGATCAGCTTCTTGTTCAGGCAGTGCCAGACTCAATGTTCCTGGCTTGAATGGGGGAACCCATGCTCCAAAGCCTTTATAGCAGGTGCATTTGTAGCCTTGAAGTTACTCAATTTTCTTGATAATTCAGCAACCAGATTTATGCTATTTTAGGCCCAATGTTTCCTCAAACTTAACTACACTGCTAGCTACATAAAATTCACTCAGTAAGAATTTTAAGTGAATTTATGAAGTGAGAAAGTAAGCAGTATGAACCAGGGTTCCAAAACACCAAGGCCTCAGAAGAAAGCTTAGGAGACTCATC